TAGGTAATGAGTTAGGAATCTTTGATGATGATGATGATGATGATGATGATGAGATGCTGATAAGAAATGCTCATTTAAGAAAACATGTCCTAGATTGTAACACAGATCCCAAGTGAATATTTTTGTTTATGTATACATGTGAGCTTGCACACTCAAATACACACACATACATATACTTACACATATATAAACATTAATGCTCACACATAAACACACTTATATACATGCAAACATACACACATGCATTTATTCACATATATGCACACTCACACATATGTCAACTACAGTCCATTTCTGAGCACATAAGCCTGGTTAAATTATTAGGTCTCATAGCTGACAATGTGTGAGGCCTAGGACTTAACTTTTCTGAGCTTTAATTATAAAAACAAGAAAATGATTGTAATTTTAGCTACTTTGTGGTCTTACAAGTCACTAGAAGACTTAGGTATAATGTTCTAAAAATATTTTTACATTTCATTTGTCTTTAATATCTTTCTTTTTTTCCTTCCTCCCTCCCTTCCTTCCTTCCTTCCTTCCTTCCCACCTACTATCTGTCTATATGGAAGCATAAAATATAAAAATCCTTATCATATATTTCCCAGTATGTTACTTGTTTTTCTTTGCCACTGTTAATTGTAATTTTTATTTTATATATAATCAAACTTTTTTTATTGAGGAATATGTTAAGATTAAAAACCATACAAAATTATTAATAAATAACTATACTTTATAAACTTATCATGGCCATGTGTTCTACACACAGGAAGGTCCCTATGTTCTAGAATTAGAAACAATATGAAGAGGGACATTGGTAGTCAGAATTCTGAGGCCTTAGGGAGCACTGCCACCAAATGGGCATTCCCTGCAGGATACCCTCTTTTCAAAGGTGAGCAGGGACACCAAACATGATGCAACACACTCCAAGGACTGGTCACTAGACAGAGCCCAGTGAAGACTTTGCAGATAAAATCAGCTCTTCTAGTGAATCCAGTGAGTAACTGTCCTGTGTAAGCCTGACCAGGTATTTGCTAGTGGATGATTTGCACATCAGAGTTTCTGCTGGGTTCAGAGGAATCCATGACCAATAAGCATGAAAAAAAAAGAAAACAAAAACAAAACAAAGCAAACAAACAAACAAACAAAACCAGGACCATGGGCCTTCAAATCATGAACAATGGAGTCTCCCAGAAACATGAAAGAACTTCTAAGAAAATTCTATCATAGCCCTACTGGCCTCCTGGCTCTCCAGTTTGCTCAGAACGTGCGCATTGAGCTAGCTCACCTGTGCCAGACAATCACACAGAATAGTCATGGTGAGCTGGTGCTTCCGCAAGCTGCTAAGAAGATGAGTACCACATGAAAGAAGAAAAGAAAGGGGTTTGAGGTGAGGTGGCATGCACAGGTTCAAGACATTTGTCCCTAGGACCTCCATCTGTCACCCAGTGACTCCTCACCCCCTGCACACATGGCACCGTGGAGATACATGAGAAGCACAGTAAAGACAAAGAAAATAATATTGCCAGTGCCCGTACGTGGGGACTTGAGCAAGGAACTCTCTATAAATATTAGATTAAAGAGACATGAGCGGCTTTTACCATTATAGACCGTAATAGAATTTGATCAGCTAAATCCCAGGGCTTTATAAAGCACAAATTATGTAAACAAGCTTAATGGCTTTTTGATAAAACTACAAAGCCATTTGTATGAAGAATGCAAGAGGTGCTTTTTGTTTGGACTCTAAACCTCATGCACAGAGCACAGATGCTTCTTACTCAAATTAAAAAAGAAATAAGAAGTTTAGTACAAAGACTGGGGAGATGGCTCAGCGAGTAAAAGGCTTGTGCAATTCTGACAACCTGCATTCAGATCCCTAGAACCCACTTAAAGCTGGACCCAACAGCCCAGTCACCTGTAGTCCCAGCGTGCCTCTCTAGACACTTGTAGGGCAGGCAGCCTGGCTAAGGCAATGGCAAAGAGACCCTGTCTCAAAGAGGGTAATATACAACATGGATTAGAGGATAAAATCCCAAGGAAACCAGACTGATGAGTTCTTTGAGAAGAGATTTATTGAAAACATCAGTCCTCCATGTCAAATCCGCAGCACTTGATGGGTTTTGTCATTAAGGACACTCTCTAACGTCTGAGGGGGGTAGCTCAATTGATGGTTTCCTCCATGTATTTATGCAGCATCTTTTCCCATTTCTTCTCTTATGCCATCATACTTCCAGAGTCCTAGCAGCTCTCCTATGCCACACTTCCATTACAGCACAATATCCAGCACGTACTTCACCATGATTCAAAAATCACTCTGTAGCCCTCCACATGGAAATCATTCTCTAGAATCTTGACCATCATTTCAGTCTCTACAGGGTATCCCACTTATCTCCCTTAATACTGACAGATATATTTCTCTCATCTTTTTCTTTGATGCACATATGTGTTCATATGTGGGCACACATGCAGTCATAGATGCCATACAATCCTGCCTGTTTATCTGCTGTGACCCTTCCTTTCCCCTGCCTCTTAGCCCTTCTCTCCAGCTTATTAACCCACTAGGGGTTTAGTTCTTTGTCACGAAATCCTTTCATGCCGTGGGCCATTGATTTGTGGGGCTCTTTTCTTTCCTCACCTTTTTTAGTACTTTATCTCCTTTTATTTCTTAAGGTTTGTGTAGCAGGAACTATTTTTCTCAAGGCATGAAGTGATATATCTAGACTTTATAGGCTATCTCCGCCTGGCATCCCTACCTTGTCTTTACAACAGTCCCTGGATATGGAACAGCACAAGCAAACTGTCATGGTATTATGTTTGGTGATGAATACCATCTAAATGCCATATAGAACATTGTATTTCAAGAACAGATGATGAATGACAAAGAGCTAAATGACCTTTATAGAGTCATTCAGCATGTTTAAAAACATGAAGTCAGCAGGGCAGCGGTTAATCCCAGCACTCGGGAGGCAGAGGCCGGCGGATCTCTGTGAGTTTGAGGCCAGCCTGGTCTACAAGAGCTAGTTCCAGGATAGGCTCCAAAGTTATCGAGAAACCCTGTCTCCAAACAAACAAACAAACAAACAAACAAAAAACCCCTGTAAGTCAAGATTTTTCAAGCATTCTTGGACACGTCCATTTTTATAACTATCAAGTTCAGAAAGTTGTACTGTTCTTACTGCTCAGACTGTATTGGGATCCTTGGGTTTATCATTATGATTCTCTATCCCAAAGATATGGATAAGGTGGAATTTGTAGTTCTGATAATCATCTCGCTTCAATGCCCAGCAAAGCATCTTTCTGAAAATTAAACTGTGCTAAGTTCTAGTAAGATTAAAATGAAGTGCAACAAGAAAAGATCAGAGGACATTGACTAGTTGGCCATTGGAACAATTAAAACGTCCTGTTAGCTGATCCCTCTCTTGTGCACACCAGAGATTTCAGTGTAGGAGAGAATTTAGGGGATACCAATTCCCTTCTATGGTCTTCTCTGCTGGGCTTCCACACAGAGGTCATGTCCAGCCCTAGCCATTATCCCTTCGATTCTGTATCATGCCTTGCTTCATGATACTGCAAAAAGTTCTCCACTGAGTCCTCGCTGCCCATAGTGCTGTTTGCAATTTTAAGTTTTAGTGGCAGAAGTGTATTTCTACTTGAAATCTTTAGAGGTGGAGATAAGACACTTGTTTGGAAATAACAGAAATAGAAATCCATAAATGATTTTGAAATATATATCCAAGAATCATTGGTTTCAAATAGATTTCAATTAGAGTGCTTTTAAAACAATATGAATAAATTACTTCAAGAAATAGGAAAATCTTACCCAATTGGTTCTTATGAACCCAGTATATTAATTTTTTTTCTGGGGATTTTATTACTTTTTTGTATAATAATCATGGTTGTAAGCAGTATTTTCACTAGTAGATAAGAATGTGGAAGCTTAATGAATGTTAGTTAAGGTGCCTATGATTACATAGATGGTGAATGTTGGAGCAGTCACATACTACTATGTAGATCACTGTATTGCCATTATCCTTCAGTACCCTAAGTCTCAGCAGTTCACAGTGAGTGCTGGTCATCTCTTGGAGTCAGTAATGATAAATGGCTCAAAGCCCCTTCTGGATTTTTGGAGCGCAATATTGCTGCCAATGTCTGTTAGAAATTTCTCTCCCATCTTAGAGAGTTTGCATTATATACCCTGCTCTGGGAGCTTGCAAGAATCTACAATCTCATTTCCCTGGCCTGAAATTTGATATGGAATTGAAGAAAAATCAGGATCTCTTCCTAAACAAATTTCATGAAAGCTTTGTGTAATCTTCGCAATTGCCAGAAAGGGATCTGAATACACAGAGGATACCCTTCTACAGAGAACAGAGGAAGGTCAGCAGCGGCTCATAAGCCTTCCCCAAATAGAAGCAGGGGGAGACTGGGCAGTGATACATTTACCCAGCCTAGGACACTAAGTGAGGTGACTTCACATGCCAGTTCTTTCTTTGAAGTTAAGTTTTGCCATTTTACTTTCTTGGTTTTTCCTTTACATGTTGATTTTTCCTCAAAAAATGTTAACTATCCATTGTTTAACTCAAAGATAGACAATTTAAAAATATTTATTTTTATTTTATTTTATGTGCATGAGTGTGTGCCTACATGTATGTGTATATGCCTCATACCTATGCAGATTAGAAGAGTCCATCATATCTGTTGGAACTGGAATTAGAGACAGGTGTAAGCTGCCATGTATGTGCTGGAAACTGAACCCAGGTCCTCTGCAAGAGCAGCCAGTGCTCTTAACTGCTGAGCCATGCATGTCTCTAGATTCCAAAGGCAAACTTTCAAGAGATTACTGTGTCAGAGTTTTCACGGCATGTTCTGGCTTAACAAGCCCAGCAAGATTTACCTTGTTAGAGGTGTGGTGAGAATATAACTCCAGGGCAACACACAGTCAGGGGACTGTTATTCTCAGCATACAGAAAAGTCATCTTCATCACACATAAACGTGACACAGTTACCTGTCATGTTGCAATAAACCTTCAGAGGTCCCAGAGGTCCGCTGCCATCGGGATCTATCCAGTAGTAATTTGACGTCTGGCCAAGGTGTTTGTAGGCTTCACAGGAGGGCTCGTAGATGGCTGGAATGAGATATCCACATGAGCAGAGCACAAAATAAACGTCTCTCTAGCTCAGAGCCCCCGTTACATGCCCAGCGCAGGCACACTGCTGTGTGAAACAGTTCTTTCTAGAATGAACACTCTCTTTCTCCAAACTTAAATTCCTGACTTAGCTCTTTCTTTCTAAGTCTTTCTGACCCTAAAAGCTACTTATATAACTTTATAGTCGGGGAAAGAATAGATCTAATCGATAAACTATTAAAGAACACATGTAATGTGTGTTTTTATCGGAATACATGGCCCTTTAATTCGTACTCGTTTGTAGCAATCATCTTCTTCCTATAAGGTACTTTATTTTGAAAGATTGCAAATAATTGAACTCTCAACTAAGATAAAGGAGATTTCTTTCTCAATTTTTGTATCCCTAATATAAATTTCCTTTAATTTGCGTGGAATTTATAATCTCCTTGTGTCTTGGGCATAAGGAAAGCAAGTTTCCTAAGTTTGTTACAGGTGCTTTAACTATATCAAAATTTAGTTTGCGTAAAAAGCCTGCATTTGCATAATTAAATTATAGGTTCTTTTCCATTGTTTTCCTTTTCCTTTCCACGTCTGTGACACATTTTCTTTTTTGTGAAGAGACTGCACCTGTTTTCAGAAGTGCAAAATGGATATTTACATATCTCCTAGGTTGTAAAGCTATTAAGTCAAGTTTTTTTCTTTCCTCCAGCAGCTTCATACTGACATTTGTGAGAAATGTGAATAATCCCAGCACAGGACAAGGAAGCATTCTTGGTGAAAACGGATTTCACCCAGACAGACTTTCTTGTACAGTGCTTCTAGGGCCTGCTGTGTGTGAATTAGGAAATCGGGCGTCTGCGTCTCAAGCATCCTTTGTCTTATCTTCTACCAAGCTTTTCTGCCCCTCTTCATCTGCCCATGGCTCCCTCTACCCAAGGAGAATAGGTGTTCAGCTCTCTTTTGTTATACCAATGTCTCCACTCTCAGTCAAATGCTTCAACATTTCTTCGATTGACTTGTCCCTTCTTCCTTCTGCAATGAGTTATAATGCACAGAGTCTCTGCTACATGTCACACTATATACCCGTCCATGCAGATTTAGCTGGACACAATCCAGACTCAAGACCTTTGGAGCAGGATTTGATTGTTGATTACATGGGTATTGCTTCTGCTTCAAGTGCTGTTGAAGCAGGATGTGGCTAGAAAAGTAAGCAGAACCCATTCATCTTTGCCCCAGGGTAACCATTAATAGGTCCACTTTCAATCTCTTAAGTGTCTACACAGTAAGCTACATGTTCTCTCTAATTGTGAATGCCATGCTAAGTAAAATGCCGTAATAAAAACCAGGGAAAATGTTTTTTAAATGTCCAGCAGGAAGATGCTATAATTAGATATAGGCTTAAAAATCAAAACTCCATGCAGTAAGTGGTAGATTGTAGGGGACTATCAGGCTGTTGCTGCTACTGCTGGTTGGAAGATGACTGGCAGGTGAATTAAAACAATGTGGCCAGGGATAAAGTTGGCAGGACTGAGTGCAGCAGTTCTGAGGTCAAGACAATGTGGAGGCCAGTTGAACAGAAGTGAGTAGGAACAAGTGCCGCTTAAGGGTGATCTGAAATTATAATCTCTGAAGACAAACTAGACACCTTATTAGTGACAGCATCTCTCCAGGTTAAAATTTAATGTAAAATCCTTACTTTTGAAAAATTCACACATGTATACAATGGATTATTGTACCTATATTCTATTCACTCCAACCAACTCCCTTTGTGTTTTCCCCAACATCCTTTTCTCAACTTCATCAAATTTTTTGTAACCTACTAAATCCAGTGAGAGTTGTCCAAATATGCATGGGTTTGGGACACTGGAAAACCTACCAGTGTCCTCAATAGGAAATTGAAGTAGTAAGGGCAACGGGGCTGCATCCCCAGCACCCCAGCAACCTGTTTAGCTTATGCTCCGAAATAACAACACACAAACTGATTTCATTTAAATACTGCTTGGCCCTTTAGCCCTAGCCCTTACTGGCTAATTCTCACATCCTGATCAACCCATCTCTAATAATCTGTGAGAACCGGTCTTACCGGGAAGATTCTAGCCTAGTCCATCCTGGGTCGGAGCTTCATCCCGGGAGCGGGGCATGGCGTCTCTCTCTGAGGCATCTGCTCCCGAGAGAGCAGAGCTGTGGAGTCTCTGAGCTCACTTCCTCTTCCTCCCAGTGTTCTGTCCTGTTTTCTCCTCCCACCTATCCTCTAACCAATAAAATGGGCCAGGGCAGTGCCTTTATTAGCCAATGACCTTCCTCCATCATTTCCCCTTTTTTGGTTTAAACAAAAAAAAAGGCTTTAACTTTAACATAGCAAAATTACATATAACAAAACAGTTATCAAGTAAAAGTTACAATAATCTTTATCATAACTAAGGAAAACTATAACTATAACTAACTATTCTTAACTCCATCAAAGACTCCAGAAAGATATAATATTACCTAAGTAAACAAGAACTAAGAAACTTCAAACTCTAGAAATGACAAAGACATCTTGCTGCCTGGACAGTCACCCAAAGTTCTTTTGTACCGTTGGGGTATCCATCTTCAGCCTTCAGGCCCATGGTATCCAGCAGACATTTCCATAAAGCAGGAAATTCAAAGTCAGTTCAGTCACTATCTGTTGTGTCCTGCAGAATGTCTCGCGGACTCTTTCATGAATCAGGAACCCCGAAAGATCATCTCACCTTAGACAAGTTCAGTAGTCCTCTCTCTGTGGGTTCTCTGTGTCCAGTTTATGCAAGAGTCCAGGCAAGAGCAGTTTCTTGCCCAAATGGCTATCAAACTCCATAAGGAGCCTCTTCGATGCCCATCTTCCTCTTGAAGTAGATTGGTGCTGCCAGGAGCAGAGTGTCTCATTGTCATGAAAAGTCCTATTCTTTGAAAGACATGAAGAATGTCTATCTAAAATATATCTCTATATATCTAGAAAATCTAACTAACATGACTACAAGCTTTACTATTATCGATGATTATCCATTAACAACCTATATTTCTTAATTATACAGTACATATTTAAATGAACTACACAATCACAATACCTTAATCAAAATCAGAAACACTTATACATATAACAAAATTGACCTTAAATCTCTATCAATAAAGCAAAATCTATACTAATGTAAATTATTCATATCTATATCATATCCCCCTTTAAATGTAAAAGAACGTTTATAAACCATATTTGGGAACATGGGCGCAGTTTTTTCTCTCCAAACTGCTTCCTGCTGAATGGGGGCGTCGTTAATTAGGTCTTTCATGGTATAACCTGTGTGCTAGTTTCATCTCAGTTGGCAGTTGAGCGAAGCAATTTTTTGAAGGCGTTCACACCAACCCTTCAGGAGGGCGTGGTCCATCATACCAAATCGGAATAGAAGAAATGAACAGCGTCTCATCCTCTGTGAAAACAAAATAAAAAACTCCTTTCCAAAGCATCATGTCCTTAGATCCAAATTTTAAATTTAAGGTATTTTCAAAATATCTATGTTGGATTAGTTCAGCAGCATTTATAAATAAATATCTTTTAGCATCTGTTGCTCCTTCCTCAGCATTTAAATAATTCAAAGAGAGCATAATAGCATACAGTATCAAGATTCTCTGTGTATTTTCCATCTTTGTACAGCTTTGTTTTAACCTCTATTTCGTTTATTTTTACTTTTAACTTTTTGCTTTTTGAGACAGGTTCTCTGTATCTTTGACCTGAAGTAATTCTGTAGACCAGGCTGTCTTTGAACTCTCAGAGACCCGCCTGTCTCTGCCTCCCAGGCATTGGGATTAAAGGTGTACACTACTACACCTTGAACTCACAGAGATCTGTTTGTCTCTGCCTTCTAGGCACTGGGATTAAAGGCGTGTGCTACCACACACAACAACTCTCTTCCTTTTTTTTTTTTGTTACTTTTAAGAACTTTAAATTTTAGTCTGCATATATTTTTAACACACTTTAAACCATTCAAAAATTTTCTCTGTCTTTGAATCTCTCTTTACTGTATATCTCTCTTTTTCTGACCACATGAATCTTTAATTTACCAAGCAATCTCAGTAGGACTAAAGGCGTGGCTTTGCCAGCTAGATCCAGTCCATTCCTTAGCTTTCTAGCCTCATGGCGGATATACAGGCTGTAGCCATGTTTACTGCAACAACTGTATGGCATTTCAAGGTCCCTGCCAGCAAGTGAGCTACAACAGACAACACTCAAGTCCTCTCTCTGTAGCCGGCCCTCCTGCCTCAAACAGTCAGTGTTTGCCCTGGCAGGATGGCCCAGAAAGCTGGCATTTTTAAACGGAGCAGCTTTTTTCCCGCTGTGGCTGAAAACCGAAAAGCATGTGTTCAGCTTTTCGTCAATACCGTTTAAGTGTTTCGTGGCAGGACTTCTTAATGAGCTGCAGGCTTTGCAGCTAAAGCTGAGTCAGGAAGCCTCTCTTAGATGAGGCGCTTGCTTGCCTCTAGCAAGCAGAGTAGAACCGAGAAATTGCTGCTACCAAGAAACCAGGCACAATGCTTTCATTTTGTTCTAGAATTACTTCCCAAGCTGTCTCAGGCTTTATGTGGAAGCAGTTGTCCACGTGGGTGCCATATGAAGTAGTAAGGGCAACGGGGCTGCATCCCCAGCACCCCAGCAACCTGTTTAGCTTATGCTCCGAAATAACAACACACAAACTGATTTCATTTAAATACTGCTTGGCCCTTTAGCCCTAGCCCTTACTGGCTAATTCTCACATCCTGATCAACCCATCTCTAATAATCTGTGAGAACCGGTCTTACCGGGAAGATTCTAGCCTAGTCCATCCTGGGTCGGAGCTTCATCCCGGGAGCGGGGCATGGCGTCTCTCTCTGAGGCATCTGCTCCCGAGAGAGCAGAGCTGTGGAGTCTCTGAGCTCACTTCCTCTTCCTCCCAGTGTTCTGTCCTGTTTTCTCCTCCCACCTATCCTCTAACCAATAAAATGGGCCAGGG